TTTTTTTTTTTTTTTTTTTTTTTTTTTCGTTTAAATAAAAATTAAATTATAATTTGAATTTGAATTTGAAAATTATATATTATTTATTATACATTAATTGATTTAAACTGAAATGGACAGTTAGATTTTTATATCCGGCCTTCATCTGAATGTTTTAATGATTTCTAAATAAAATTTCATTTATTAGTTTTTTTATTTAATAATTTCCAATAGATGCTATTCTTATATGGTTAAATTTTCTCAATCATAAATTCCTAAATACTCTCAATTTTCTTATCTATTTCATTTATTAATCCTGAAGTAGTTCTAATATATTTTTTGCCTAGATTTTCTTTAATTTTGGCCCAAAATAATTCGATCAGGTTTAAATTTGGGCTATAAGATGGAAGAAATAAATAATTTAATTTGTTTTTCAACATTGTATAAATTAATTGACTTTTTGTGAATTTGACTGCTGTCAATTATAATGAGATATTCATTATTCTTATAAAGATTTCGTCAATTAAATAAAAGTTAATCTAAAAAAACTGAAAATATTGCAGAATTAAATGCTCCCTAAACAATTTAATAAGAGATTAAACCATCAGGACCAATTTCACAAATTATAGATAACTGCTTTTTAAAACAATAACTATACATTATTGTAAGATTTTTTTTTGCTATACTTTTGGTACTTTTAGATTTCTCCAAAAGTAATTTCATCTAAAAATATCAATAATGGATGTTTAATTTTTTACATTACACCCACACTAATATTTGATTTTTTTTCATTATAAGTATTTTCATTTTTTTAAATCTTAGGCATTTATCTTTTTGAATAAATTCTATTATCTTGCAAACATTTTATATATATGATATTTAAAAGGGTATTTACTCAAACTAAATAATTCACAAAAAAACATTTTTTTATAGTTTTTTAATGAATAAAATAAGATCAATTTTTCAATTATTTTTAATTATCAATCCAATTTTTCAATTCATTTGTATATCAGACTTTTTCTAATGTTAAATAATCCAATCAAAAATTTTCTTATCATTAATAATTTTTTTTTATTATCACCAGCTTATTTTGATTTTGAAATTGCTCTATTTCAGTTTGGAATCTATATGCCAAAATTGGTTTATAGAGTTTCAATTTTTAATTTCTTTTTTGCACTTATTGAAAAATATTATCTTTTTCTTCAAACTATTCTGTTTAAAAAAACTAAAGCAATCTACTTTTGTTAAATGATTTTTTATTGAAAAGATTTATATTTTCTAAAAAGGCTATCTATATTATTTATAATAAAAGAAAAATTGACTTTCTTAAGTCTTAGTTTACTAAGGAACGATCAGCGTTGTACTCTCTTATTAATTTTTATAAAGCAGATAGTATCTTTATTTATTATTTAAGTTAATTTCTTGGAAATACTTTATATTAAAAATAATAAATTAATTCAAATATCATAATTAAATTAGCTCTTATTCAAATCTCTCCAAATCTCTTTTTCTTGTTGATACAATAAGCCAGTCTTATTAAAAATAATTTATAAAAAATAACTCTATAGAATTTTCAACAAAAGCGTTACAAATCTCCCTTTTGCCTTATCAGATTCGTGAATCTGAAAAAGAGAATATTAAAAAAGTATTCTTATTTGATTAATCCATTATATCCATGTTTAAAACACTAAACTATTCCTACTTATTCAAAAAATTTCATAAAAGAATTAAAAGAAAAATTATCAAAAGCAGCGCATAAAGTACAAAAATCATTTAAGCATAATGATTTACAAAATTTTAGCTATAAAATTATTTACCAAAAATAGGCTTAGAAGTTAGAGTTTCTTTGATGAAATGATTTCAATAAAATAATTGTTAATTCTAAAATTCAGGATTCAATTTTAAATAATTTATTAATCTTGAAGAAATCGTCACTCTTTTAATTCTTCATTTGTTAATCCTCTTTGAGTTAATTGTAAAAAAATGTTGAATAAATTGTCTCCTATAATAAAGTGGGGAAAAGTACGATTCCTCAACTTCCTTTTCTGATTCTGTTTATTCTTAATCTATTTAATAAACATATTATTTATTATTATTATTTATTTTTCTAAACTGATAATAATAGTATTTATATTCCAAATTGATATCTCATTCTATTATTATTATTTGTATTTTTCTCTGTGAAACTATTATATGAAAGATATTGCTGATTCTCAATTTATTTATTTTTTTGTTGGTTTTATTCTTTAATTAATCTAATCTTGAAGTAAGAGATATATAATTGATATCCCCACAAAAAATCCTATTAAAAAGTTAAATAAGTGGTCTTTCATTCTTCCTAAGTGGTAATTATGAGATGAATGCTGACTAATAGCACATTTTTTAAATTATTAACCTCAGGATATTATATTTATTAAAAAGCCTTATCTTATGTGAAGTTCTAAGAGCGTATTCCTCTTTGAATACTTGACTAAGATTTCGATCTAGCAATGTTAATATAAGCTTTGTAGCTTTTTATTGAACTTTAGAGCATCAGGGTTTACAATTTTTAATTTTAATTTTATAAAAATCTCATCCTCATAATATTATATATTTTATGCACAGAGAATAATTATAAGTCTTAGAGCTTAATGAAATTATAAATAAATAATTCCAATGATAAATAGGAAGATTTTGGCAGCTTTTCTTTATTATGACATTATTTAGAATCAAAATTACTTATTTTTTTGAATTCAGAATAAATTATTCTATTAACTTGATATATATTTATCCTCTATCCAAAATGATTAATATTGATCTATGATTGAAGTAATAAACAATAATATGAAAATAAAGGAGTTAACATCTTAAATAAAAACAAATTATAAATGCTGTAGAACTTTATTAACAAACATACTAAAAATAGATTTTATACCCGTAATTTTATTAGAAAAAGTAATAGAAATTCTTTATTTTTACAATAAAGATCATGAATTGCTTTTATCATGCTAGAAGAGAAATAACTTTGATTTGCTATGCATCACACAAATGCCAAAGGAAGCTTTGTGTTGAATGCATATAAGAACAAGGACTTAATCACGAGACGATGTTGATTGAAACATTTTAAGAACAAGTAAAACAAAAACTAAAAGAGCACATGCTTAAAGATCCAAATGAATTAAACTGAAACTGAAAGTATGCTGAAGACAATTTGGGAAGAATTATCTTAATCAATAAAATAAATATATGATTGGATTGAGCAGGAAAACAAATCATATATTGACCTCATAAACAAGTATGCTAACTTAGCAGAATCCTCATATACTGACTTAGAAAAATTAGTTCAAATAGTATATGGAAAAACATTAAATGATTGGAATGTTGAGAAAAATAATATATTGATGGAGTTATAAAAGCATAAGAATTGTTGGAACTAAGAAATTAAGACTTATTGTTAATAGCTGGATAAAAAAATAAAAGATATAATTGCATCAATAAAGTAAGTATTTCAATCATTTTTAAGTAGTAAATTAAGTTAAAAAGAAGATTTAGTATAAAATTAGAGAGAAGATCTGTTTGGGATCTTAGCTTCTTTAAAAAATATTGATGCAAAATTTTTTATTGTGATAATAGAAATGTTGAAAAAAGAAAAACCTTCCGATATTTTATATTTTCTTTCAACATTAGATATTCAAAAGCATTTAAATTAAAATTTAGATAAGTCTCATAATGTAAATAGTGTAAAAAATAACATTCAGCATTTTGTTACTGTTATAAAAAATATTTATGATCATGACTTTAACAAAAAGGACTATTCCACATAAAAATTCAGATAAACTAAACAAAGGTTAATTGGTAAAATAAAAAAAGAAGCGAATATTATAGGATTTTTGAAATTTTTAGTAAACTTGACATACATTGATGAAAATTTAATTTAGTGTGGATCAAATTCACTTCATTTATTGGTTTAAATGAAGGTTGATTTGACATAACAATCTTTTTAAAATATTAAGATTAAGAATACTTCGTTAAATGGAGGAAGTTTTGCAGAATGCAATTTTAGTTGTTCTAAATTCAACAATGTTGAAATAAATGGAATTAACTTAAATGGAGCTAAACTATTCCATTGCGAATGGAAAAATTTAAGAATAGATTAATAATATTATTAAGTATATCATGATAGTGGAATCCTATCATAATGTTTTTCTCCTGATGGCTCTAAATTAGCATCTGGTAGTTGGGATAACACTGTTTGTTTAAGGGATGTTAAAACAGGAAAAATAAAATCTTTATTTATTGGTCATAATAGTCCTATTTATTCAGTATGCTTCTCTCCTCATAGTACTATCTTAGCATCTGGTAGCTAAGGTGGCTCAATCCGTTTATGGGATGTTAAGGCAGGATAAGAAAAAGCCAAATTAGATGGTGATTGTAATTGTGTCTATTCGGTAACATTCTCTCCAGATGGTCTTACACTAGCTTCTGGTAGTTAGGATAACTGTATCCGTTTATGGGATATTAGGAAACATCAACTTAAATCCAAATAAAATTCAATCCTGATGGTACTACATTAGTAACAAGTAATTTGAATGGCAATATTTGTTTATGGGATATTAGGACTAGAAAAAAAAATTTATATTAGATAGTTATCACGATGCACTCTTTTCGGTATGGTTCTCTCCAGATGATATTAGAGCATTTTATTCAGTATGCTCCTCTCCTGATGGTACTATAGCATTTGGTAGTTATTATGGCACTATCTGTTTATGGGATGCTAAAACAGGGCTACAAAAATTTTAATTAGATGGTCATCGAAGTACGGTCTATTCATTATGCTTCACTTCTGATAGTAAAATATTGGCATCTGGAAGCGGCAGTGAAGATAACTCTATTCATTTGTGGGATGTGAAGACAGGGAAAAAAAAATATGAATTAATCCGTCATAATTGTACTGTCTATTCATTATGCTTTTCTCGTGATGGTACTGCACTAGCTTCGGGTAGCGGGGATAATTCTATTTGTTTATGGGATGTTAAGGCAGAAAAAACAAAATTTTAATTATTTGGCCATATCGGAACTGTCTATTAAGTTTGTTTCTCTAATGATGGCTCTCTATTAGCATCTGGTAGCGATGATGAAACTATCCGTTTATGGGATGTTAAGTCAGGATAATAAAAGGCAAAGTTGGAGGGTCATAGTGGAACTGTCTATTCAGTATGCTTCTCTCCTGATAGCTCTACATTAGCATCTGGTAGCGAGGATGAGACTATCCTTTTATGGGATGTTAAGTCAGGATAATAAAAGGCAAAGTTGGATGGTCATAGTGGAACTGTCTATTCAGTACGCTTCTCTGCTGATGGAACTTCATTAATATCTAGTAGTGATGATGAGCTGATCTGTTTATGGGATCTTAAGACAAATGAGGAAATTTAATCTACAGATAATAGATATAAAGATTTATTTACATAATTGGAAACTCCATTATTACAGCACAATATCCTTTCAGGTATTTATACTCTTTAATAATTTAGTCGCCACTAATATTCCTATTCTTTTTATATCCCAATCACAAATATTTTAAGCAGATGAAGCTCAAATCGTAAAAGGGGAGTTTTTTAATTATGAAGGCATAGATTTAAGACCATTATTAAAATCTAAAGGAAGTTACATTAAGTAGTGAAATATGATTAATTTAAGAGCATTACAATTACGTATAATTACAAGCAATTTCCCATTTTTTTTTTCATTTTTTTAACAAGTCTACTGTGGTTTATTAAGTTAAAGAGAATGTTGTTTTTTGAAAAAAGTTAATAATTTTTATATTTTTAAATCTGATTCATCATAAATCTCTATATATAAAGTAATTAATCTATAATTTTTTGTTAATGTCAACCTACAATAATGTAATAAAGGAAAACCCTAATTACATAATTGAAAGTATTCTTTTTTATATTAAGTAGTCCTATAGATAACTTCTTAAGTTTATAACTAACTACTTCTAAGGAGAATTTTTTTTTTTAATTTAGGCTTTTATAAAAGCAAACAGAATATTCCTGATTCCGTTCTAAAACCATCAATCACTAGAACCTTAGTAGATAGTGTAGACATTCTTGGATACAAGATGTAAAAAACATTCTCATAAAAAAAGTATTTCGCTTTTGGATTATAAAGTTAAGCAGAAACTAATTTATCTATGTCTATTATGAAAAGAAAAATTCTCACAATTTGAATTTGTTTAGTTCATTTAAAATATTTTATAAACTTTAATATCATCTAAAGATTGCAATGAAATACATTTTTCATTCCTACTTATTATTTATTATGAATTATTAAATGAAGAAATAGTAATGGAATCTCTTTAAATTTATTTTTCTTCTCAATGTTTGATATATCACAAAGGAAGGTTGAGTTTATCATTTCAACTTATTATCAATAAATCATTCAAAGAATTAACTAAAACTATAAGGCAGTCTAAGTTATATTTTTTAATTATTATCTAATTATTTTCTATCATTAGGAGTAAAATTAGTAATATAATTAGAACTTTGTATAAAATGAAAATCATAACGATTTCAACTAAATAAATATCATCTTAAGCTTTGCAAATCAAGTATTTATTATCATAAGATACAGCATTCTATTTATAATAGATAATACTGCTAAAGAAAAGAATTTGCAAATTGATTGAAATTCTTCAAACCTCAGAAATTAATTTTTATTGAAGTCAATACTTAATTATCATTGAAAAAAAATATAATGAGTAATTTTTTTAAGGCAATATTATTTTCTTTGAAATCTTAAATCATATTCTTATAGAAAAAATAATGATTTCTGATCCTCCTATGGCTTATAATTTAGTATTTTATGAAGCTTAGATCTGGTTTATGGATGAGGAAATAATAATTTATAATTTTAGGAGTTGGGATTTATTTGTAATCTATTTGCTTTCAAAATATAGTTGATCTCCCTTAGTTTATTTACAAAGATATTATCCATCAGGAAACAGAATAATGTTGGTATATTCATAATTTTACAAGTAAACTAATATCTAAGACAAGGTACTTGCCTTATAATAATCAAATGGACTAAGTAACTTAGCATACAAAAATATTTCTTTCTTGAAAGGGAGATGCAGAAATGAGTTAATAAACATTTGGAAATTATAAGTCTTTTTTTATTCATCACCTTAGACCTACTAAATTTTAGATAAACCCTCTTCACTCCCTGATATTAATTGTTTACCATTTTTTTGAGCAAAATAAACTAGTTATTAATTTATTGGGGCCAATTAATATGTAATTCTCTTTACATAATTAAATTTTCTAATTAGTACAAACATGACTTAAATCTAAATGATTTAAATCTTAAAAAGAACTTAGTGATAAGAACGTAGTTTTTGTTTTTTTGAATATTAGAAATTGAAATATATCTTTGGCTTTACTAATTCAATGGAACCTAAATAATGAATTTTAGATATTTTAAACCAAAACTGATAATATTCTATTAGAATCTGAACTCTTATTATAATTCATATTAATTAAAACTAATTAGTATAAAAAATTAGAACTCTATTTCCACCCATCAATCGATTTATGTGAATATATTTATGAAATTGAAGTTAGAGAGCTTTTTTTTCTATTATATTAGTTATAAATATATGAACTATCTCACCACAACATCATTTTCTCATTTTATGATTAAGTTAAATTAAATTAAACTTTATTATAAATCAATTCTGGATTTTAATTTTATTTCGATTTTTATTAAACAGAAATTATTAAAGCTAAATGGCATTTTCAATTTAATCCTATAATATTCCTATTTATCAGGTTGTTATTCATTGAAAACTTGAGCAGGATGATTTTTGAATGGATTCAGACTCAATTAAAGTTACATATCTCTAATTTTCTGCTCTGATTAGAATTTACTATTTCGTAGCTCATTTCATCTAGTAGATTTTTAAATTATCATCTATTAATAAATTTTCTAATTTTTATTAATTGGTTTAAAGATTCTAATTATGAGAGAATTTATTTTATAAATTCATTTAAGTTTAATTATCATAGGATTTTTACTATTATAGATCAGAATTACTAATCATTTTTATTTAATTTTGTGAGATCATTTCTTATTGATTAATACTAGTTTTCTTTTTATTCAATTTATTCTTATTCCATATGCTTTTAGATAGTAACCTTCTTTTTTTAAACCTTTGTTTCTAAAGTTTAAGTAGGTTCTACATTGATAGCACCATCTAATTTATTCAAATACTTTACATCTTCCCTAAATACCTTAGAAAGACAAACTCCCCAGTTTACCTAGGTCATTAGTTAAACTTAAAAGCTAAACTCATAAGCCTATCTAAGTTTCTACATACTATTCCTCTATAAGCCTTCTAAGAGTATTTCGTACTTTTTGATGTAGAGCTTTGAAAGTGAATGAAAAGCCTTGGAGTTTTAATTAGGGTAAACACCAGTATCAAGAATATGAACTTATCATAAACAAAAATTTTGTGAATAATTACAAGCTATTGAGTAAGCCATCAAAATATTGTTAACTAAATCATTTAATAAAACTAAGGATAATGTCTTGAAATAATAAATATTGAATGAAGTATTATAAAAAGGACAGTATCTAAAATTAAAAAATGAAATAAGTTTTTTTAGTAAATATTATTAAAGGATGAGAGTTTGAAAATAGTGTTATTTAATAATTGATTTAGATTAATATTGATATAAAATAATCTAATAAAATTGATAAAATCAATGTAATATATTTTAAAACTTTAAAACACTAAAAAAAAGATATTATAAAAGAAGACTAACTCAATGAGTCAACAGATGAGTTAAATTAGAATAGAACAAAAAGCCATTCTCGATTAAGGTATCATCACTTATATTTATCAAAGTGAATAATTCTAAGTATGTAGTTAATGATTCAAAATATTTAAATAGAGATAAAATTAGTAATCTAAGTATTTATCAATTTCATATTTATTACATAATGATGAAGTCTTAAATCTTTTGACTTGGCCTTAGAAATCAACCCAATCTATGAAGTGGTTATAATAATAAAGGTAGTTTATTTTACACATAATAAGAATTTTACAGAAGCTTGATTATTCTTGGTGTTGCCTTAATGCAAATATAAATCATTAATCCTAATATATAGATGCTCTTTTTTATATAGAGACAGCAATAGATTTAAAATTCAAAGAATAATTTAGCATATTCTAATAAATTTTATAAATCTATTTTTTGAAGAGAATTAATAAAAGAGAATAAAAGTACTTGATTTGGTTTGAGATTATAAATAAAAGTTACAAGTCTCACAGAGAAGAATTAGTTTCTGAATTTTTATTCCTTTTTCAGATTTGATTGATGAGAATCCAGATTAATTTTGTCTTAACTTTCAAATTTGTAAAGATCTGAATATTTACAACTGACTTTCTTATATAATGAGAATAGTATTTTCCCAAATTATTAATATTATAAATAATAAATTATCTAATTCCTATTTTGTCTCTCAATAATAAGTAAATAATTTTCATAAAAAATAAAAATACTATCTATTAATGATAGATATTAAAAACTATACGATAAATGAAAAATTTTATAATTTTTGTAATTAATAATTTTATCTATAAAGAATAAGTACTTAAATGAAATATGATGATAAATAATATTTTATTTTTGTTAATATTTATCAAAATCAAAGTTTCAACTAAAAACTGATTTTATTTTGATAATTTTGTATTACTATTTTATTTGTAAATAAATTTGTCTTTATTTATTCTTAAGTTAACCAAGTTTAATTAACTTATTTTTAAATTCCTCTAATAAAATCAAAAATCATCCATTTTCTTCTTTATTCTTAGTTAATATTATCTTCATTATCACCTTGCCCTTATGTAAGACAATTAATTTAATAAGAAAAATGATAAGATTGATTTTATGAATCATAATAATAATTAGACTTTTAAAATTACTAAGTAAGATGTTTCTTTCTAATTAATTTTCCTATTGATATATTAATTAAAAGAAATGTTTGTTCTTTAGGATCTGCTGCCACAACATAAACAGGCTTTTTAGATATGAATTTTGGATAATAATTTTCAAAAATGTAATTTTTTATAATTTTACAATTTTTTTTTATTCTGGTTATAATATATTAACCTTTTTAATTAACAATTAATGCAAAATAATCAACAAGTATATAAAGATGAGTATCATGATTTTCAAGAAATTAATAGAATTTTTAATTAATTTTATATTTCTATCTTTTTGACCTATCGATATTGTAATTTTCAAAATTAAATGGTTATTAATATATTGTACCTAAATGTGTTATATAAAAAAAGCAATTAGATTAATCATCATATTCTATTCTTAAAATTGGTTAATTAGTTTAAAAGTATAAAACTTTTTAAATTCTATTTTTAAGATCCAAAAACAAACATTTTGATATTGATTATTCAGTATCATTTGTAATATTTATTAATGCAAAATTACCATCTTTAGAGAATTATGGATTTGTATCTCCTAAAAAATTAGATCTATAAAATAATTTTTATATCTTATGATTGTAAATATCTATAATAATAAGTCTTTGTGATTCTTTTTTTCTTAAAATTTAAACATTTACACATATTAAAATAAATTAATGATTTGGACTTATCATTATACATGAAACATCAAATAATGAATTACCTTCTTCTAATGAATCATTTTAATCATTAAGGTCTGAAATATCATCTATCTCATAGTTTTCTATATCTATTTTTACTTCTTCTCCTTTTTCATTAGAATAATAATAATTAATATTCAAATCATCTGGACCATCATAATTCTACATTTCATCTTCTAATAATTAATCATATTCTATCTGGCAATCCTCCACATTATATTATAGTTCATTTTCATTTGTAAATTAGAATGTGAGTTCTATAGTTCCACAAATTGATTAAACTTTTCTTTGATCTTCCATTAACATCTTCCAATACTCTTTATAAGATTAACTCATTAACAAAGGCTTATTTATTAATAATATAATAGATATAATAAGAGTGTTTTTAAATATCTAAAATCTTAATTAATTTACTATCAATTATAATCAATTAAATCTAATTCTATATTATATAAGACACAAATTTCTTAGATATTTGAAGAAATTCAAATATATTAATTTATATCATTTTATAAATTCTTATTAAATCAATAATCGTAATTTAAACAGTATTTATTAATACTTTTAAATCCTAAAATATTTAGTTATTTTATTATTATGGATATTGATGTTGATAATAAGGATCAATATTAACCTTATTTAAGTTAACCATACTTTTATTTATTGTTGACATGAAGAAATGAAATATACTTTTTATTATTTAATAATTTTAATAGAAAATTAAATTAAATACAAATGTTAATTAGAAACAATAGAGAAATGAAGATTTTTATAAAGGTAGATATTTATGTGTAAAGCTTATAATTGAGAAATTGAATAAATGATGAATTTAATTGATTAAATAAAAATATGATTAAAATAATTAAAATAACAGAATAAAATAAGAGGAATTAAGATATTTAAAATAGATTAAGTAATTTATATATTTAGAATACTAAATTAATCAATAATCAATAAAATTTATTTAAGATTATCATTGGTTTATTGAACTACTTTAGAATTAATTGGAATCCTTTATAATTTTGTATAATATAATAAATAAATTGGTGATATAGAATTATTAGTTTGAGAATGATATTTATTGTTATAATTAAAAAAATGAAGTTTTTATTGTTATTATTAATTATATATTATTATATTAAATTCATTACCTGCTCAAAAAGTTTTCTAGTTCCATCCATATACCATCCTTTATTTGATATTCTATAAACCTATAAAATCCATCACTTAATTCTATCCAATTACCAATTTTCATTCCTCTCTTCAAATGATCCACCACCGCTACAATATTGCTTTAATCGCAAATTATATCTAACTATATTTTTCACCACTATCTTCTCTAAATATCGTATCCCACTTTCCAATTTTTAAGAAGTCTTGATACAAACTTTTATCCCTCAGCTAACCTTGGCATTGTGTCCCATTGACCAGATTTTTTTCCAAGTAAATAATGGCCTTAATAAATTACTTAAGTAAGACTATAAATATTATTGAATTCAAAATAGTACTCGCTAAAATAGTTGCTCAATTCTATCCACTCACCATTTTTTTAATTTTCATCAAATTATGCTCCGCCTCTTAACAAATACAAAATAGATATTTACTTTTATATAAATTCATCATATACATATCCTCTGTACATAGTAGTCTACACACCAAATTTTTTGCCATCTTAATATTCACCATTATATGTTATTTAACTCGAACTATAAGTATAAATTATATTGAATTATACTATGAAAAACTATCACTTAATTCAATCCATTTAATATTTTTACCCTATTTTCTTTATAAACTCCTCCACCTTTAATTTTCAAAAAAGCTATTTTACAATCTATTATTTCCTTACACATAATTCCAAGTTTTTATTCTAACTCCATTTTCGTATTCTCAAATTTCATAAACTTTTGCATTGCTTTTATATTATTCCAATAATAAATACTCCCCAAAGTTCGATGTCATTTCTTTCCATTGACTTTATTTCTAACCATAATCAGAATAAACTCCTCCAACTCCTTCATAATTCCAATTCCAATCTGCAGCCCACCTTCCTATTTTTTAGAAGCTATGACTCCTCTCCCCTTACCAAGTAAGATAATTTATTTGTTCTATATTAGTCATTATTTATGAAGTCTCATATTGGTCACTAAAATCATTATTATTGTATTTAAATCCTAATGGTTTTCCATCCATCATATATAACATTTCGTTGTTGATAGATTTTTTGACTTCTTAATTTAGGTTAGCATATGATCTTCATTCTCATTAGGAGTGAAACTATCAATATTATATTTTCTCTATACATAAAGTTAAAGAGTTTGTTTGAAAATTATAGTTTTGTATCATTAATATTAAATAATATATCTCACTTAACTAAAAATAGATAGTCATTAATCTCAATATATCTTAGTGATATTGAAATTTTATTATATAAAAAATTTAATTGGTTTATTAAAATTGATAACTCTAATGATAAATCAATATGATGCATTAGAATAATAGTTAATATTAAATGAATATTTACAAAGACCATCTTTAATGCCTTATAATTTTATGTGGCTAGCTAAAGAGTAATTTCAAAGAAAACTTTTCAAGAATCTAAAAATGAATATGTTGTTGAAAAAAAGCAACTGCTTTCTATTCATAATTTAAAAGACAAAGTAAAGAAAAGAGTTGAAAATTCAATTTTAAATATCAGATTATCTTAGCAAAATCTCTACTCTATTCAAATTTCTACTTTTATAATCTGAAGAGATGATAAAAGTAATTAAATCCAACTTAGTCAATTATGAAATATTTGATATAAAAGAATAAGAAGATTAATATTTTCATAATCCAATATTTATTTTTCCTTTTGAGATAGATCAAATGAGATGGTTTTCTTAAATTTAACTTAAGAGAATTAAATTGAATAACATTAAAATTATATATTTAATTGTAACTATTAAACTAATTAGTAGCTCTTATATGATAGAAGATTAAATAAAGTTTATTTCAAATACAGATATTATAATGAAGAAGATAGCAATATTTTTTCAGCATCTAATTCTTTTAATCAATTTTATGCTTCTGATATCATTTTAAACCTTTATTCAAGAATGCATTTGATGGAAAAAAACATAAAATATAAAACATATACTAAAATATAAAATTAGAAAATTAATGAATATGACTTAATTCAAATAATAATACCCAAAAGTCAACAGTTTTACAAAATTCTATTTTCTATTTGAGCCAAAGTTTACTTAAGTAAAATTCAAATTAATAATGTTTAGATTATTTATATAACATCTTACTATATAACAATACCATAAGTATTATTTTTAATTCCAATATCCTCTATATCAGATAATAATTTAATAATATTTATCTTTAAATCGATATTGATTTTATAATACATGTGCTGAAGTTGAATATCCTTAAATATAATTTTTAATTATAAAAAATACATTTTTGATCAATTATTTTTTATAGAATTTTTCGAAGAAAATTAAAATAAAATGGGTAATAATGAGACTAGCCATTCGAAAAAAAAGAAATCTGGAATATCTGCTTCATAATTTGGAGATATATTTATTAAAACTGATAAACCATATTATTTCTCTGGTGAAGTTGTACTTGGTATAATTAATTTTTACAATTATGTAGGAAATATATATTTAAATGTAATTAGGGATGGATTTCCAGGATGTGGAGTTTATTTGAGAGTCTTAGGCAAAGAGAAATGTAAATGGACAGAAACATCAACAAGCACTTCAACTGATTCAGAAGGTAATACATCTGAAAGCACAACTACTTATACATATACAGGAAAGTCATATATTTATTAACATAAGTTGGAATTACATAATTTTGAAAGTCCTTCACTACCATTAGGGTAATTTGTATTTCCTTTTTAATTTTAACTTTTCTCTCATCTACCTGGTTCATATTATGAAAAGGATTTAGCCTAAATTAGCTATAAAGTTAAAGCTGCTGTTTTATCTAAAAAATCCTCTTATAATTGTATTATTAACAGTCAACGATTAATCATAAGAGAACCAATACGATAAAATAAAAAACCTTTGAATGGTCAAATGTTGGTTCATTCTCAGGATTGTTGTTTTCCAAGTGATGGAGTAATAAATAAATTCTATTTATAGGCTTGTCATGTCAATTGTAGTATTGATAAACTTAATTATCTTCCAGGAGATGTAGCTTATTTATAAATTAACATTGATAATTCAAGCTTAGATGAACAAGTGAATTCCATTTCTATAATTTTATTGAATACTTTGACATTAACTGATGATTAAGGCCGATAAAAATTCTAAAATGAAATAGTTGCATAGAAATAGATTTAAGGAGTTCCATCAAGAAGCAAGGATAAAAAGAATGTACAGTTTATTTTGCAAAATAATAAATCACCTTAAGAAATATAACCATCCGCAAATGGCCGTTTAGTGAATTCAGTTTATTCATTATAGATTAAGGTTAATTTAGATTGTAAAATAATTTTATATTTTAGCTGATTCCTGCTGTGGTAAAGAGGATCCATCAATTGATTTTCCTATTTAGATTGTTGCTTTAGTGCCTTAAATAGATCCAATTATAGAAGAACCTCCTAATTGGAATCCTTAAATTTTTGATATATAAAAGTTCTATCTTACTGATAGAAATAAGGAAAATAGAATTGTTGATAATTAAGATGAATCAAATGAATAAAATTATAAGCTTTAATCTTAAAAAAGAAACTAAATATAGGATATGTAGTAGCAAATGAAGGAATGATTAATCAATATTAAATCATACATGAATTATGTCATTTCTTTATCTGGCTTGAATTTCTTGATTCTAAACGTCCAAATTATTAAAATATTATACTTTTGAAATAAACACACTAAATTTCTAATTAGTTATAACTAGTAGGTTTTATAATCATGAATTTCATCTATTTTTAAGAAATAAATTCAATATTATTATTTTACAATGAGCAGAATAGATATTTAGAATTATATTGATAAAAAATAATGAAGTTCATAATTTCTGTATTATTGTATTCTTTAATTGAAAAAGGAAATGTTATGGACTCATTTAAAAAAAAGTAACTAACCATCATTGGTCTTTAAAATGTAATAAATTAGATATTTTTCTATTTGTTTTTCATAATTAATTACAACTAATTTACTTAAAATTTTATAAATGATAAATTTATTTTTCAGTAATTAATTAAACATGTTTTAGTTCCTAAACCTTCATTCTTCATTTGTTGAACTTTTTTAAATTGTTATTATCTATTTTTTTTTACTTTATAAGGTAGTAGTTTTATTTAAATATCTTGAACCAATAAGTCTGAATTATATTTTTCAACAACAACTTAAATTGATTTGTCCTTCATTTCAAAATATCTCTCTCCATTTCCACCAGTATTTTGACTCTAAGCTACTCTCATCTTAATTGTTTTGTCTCCACTTGATTATATGACTGTAACCTCTTTCATATTTAGTGAAAATTTACTAACTCTTCCTATTTGCCCACAAAATTATTTATTAATTTTCCAAGTATTATTCCAAAATTCCAACACCTTTCTAAGAAAATGTCAAAAAAATTTTAGTAGAAATTATGTAAGAGGACTAGAAAAAAGAAGTTATTTGTTAAATTTAAAGTCTTAACTTATACTGATAATATAGCTTAAATGGCTAGCTAGGAAATAATTGGAATTTGTACTAAACTTTTCATTGAAACATGTAAATAAGTAAATCTAAAGGTTAACATAGCGTAAACCAAATACATTGTTAACAGAATACTTCTGAACCTAGAAGAAATAGGTCTTGAGAAAGTAGATAACTATAAATATCTTGGAAAATCAATAATATCATGGGCAATATAAAAGAATAATACAAACGGACTCTAAATGTTGTTTTGAAAATTGGTGGGTGGGACATTAATGTTTATTAAAAAAATTTTATAGAATGAAAATCAATTTATTATTTAGATTTATCAAAAACTGTTAATATTTTTTAGAATATGGTTGTGTTGGAAATTCAAAGAACTATTAGCCATGATGAAATTTGGATGTGAAAATCTCAAGATATTTTGAATTTACTCTTCTTTCTTAGCATATTTGCCAACAGCTAAATTGATTTTGAAAAAGGAGAAGCTGCAGAAAGTAACTTAAGCATTTGGTGTTGTAATACAATTTAAAACATATTTATTTTACTATTATAATTAATGTTGTTAAATTTCTTCATCACCAATCAGAATTAATAAAATATTACACTCATAAATTATTTCTTTTTATATATCATAACATAATTTGAATGATTACTTTTTCTAAAAATAATAATATATCAGTGAATTCAACTTTAATCTAATCAAATAATTCATCTTAATATTCTAATGAAGATACTTTCATTTACTTTAGATTATATAAAATAATGGTCGGAATTTCCAAAAATATAGTATAAGTGTTGAATAGTTAAAAAAAGCAAAAATCCATTGATTATTGTAAGCAAAGGTGTTAGCATTTACTTATCAATATGATTAAATGATTAGATCAACTATTTTTGAAAACAATGATGCTATTTTATCGGTTGCGACAAGATTTAATTGATATTAAGTTTATTTTACTTCCAAGAATTGATGATAATTGGCAATTTATTTAAATTGATAATTATCCAAAAGAGTTCAACAATAATTAAAGAACAACATATTTTTTTGTGCAATTTGCATTAATTTAACAAAACTTTTACATGGCAGATAAAAAATCATCCCTCATTAAATGCTCCTAATATGAATATGATCAAGGTTTACCGAAGGTCTTCAGAAATATGTAATTGGATTTGCAATTGCTCTCTGATTAAATTATAATGATATTTCAAATATGTTCAGAATCTGATGTTGTCAAAATTAATTTCTTTCTTTCTTCTGCAACTAAATATGATGGAGCAAAGGTAATTATTGCTCATCCTCTTGATCTCAGAATGTTCTTCTTTTTTTTTAATCTTCATGCTTATTATTTCACCTACTTCTTTCTATTTAAGATATACATAATTCTCTAAATTACCCTTAATAATATTATTATAAACATTCTTAGCTTATCTAAATTACTGATGAAAAGCCTTTTTCATTATTTTTTTTAGGGTAAATAATATAAAATTTCTTTTAGTTTAATAGTTTAATTTTTACAACAGGTTAAACATGTAATTAAAGAAAAAATAAGATGGTTAGGATAAATAAAATATAATAAGTAAATAATTGCTTTTTCATGAGACCTACAAGAATTTTGGAATTAATAAATCAAAAACACTTAAAATTAATATAATTATTTCTCAATTTTTCAAACGTTTTTTGGCTAATTACTTTCTTACTATCTTATCAAACACTTTTCCTCTTATAATAGTCTTTTTAAAGTTAATTGAGTTATTTGGAGGATAATGCAAATTTTCCTGAAGTTAATTTTTGGTTACTCAACTTTGGGTGATGTTACTTTTTAGAAACTTCCAACATAATTAAAAAAGGAACAAAAATACTTGACTGCACGGATCTCACTATCATGTTTTTGATCCAAATAAGTCTGTGCTTAGATATTAAACGAAGACTTTAGAAAAAGATAGATATAGTATCAGTATCTTAATAATTCAATAAAATTCATGAAAGTTTACTAATTTTGGAGTTGAAAGAGCGATTATATTAAATGAAATTCTCAAAACTAAATACTCCAAAGCTATTTTTTGCAAATTACTTTTTTAGTTCCTGTTAAATAATTAAAAAGCTTAATACCTAAGCAATTTAGTTAAATTTTTGAATTCACTCTTTTTTTTTAATTTCACAGTAGAGATGAATTGTTAAAAACTTCTAATTGTTAAGTATATAATCAATTTATTTACCAAAAATCAAAACTTATAGAAAGCTCAAATTTCTGAAATTCACCTAACTGACATCTGGATTCAATTTGTAATCTTTTGTTTAATTATTGTGTTTTTTGCCATTTGAATTACATAAAATCTAATACTATTAACTTTTGAAATCTTTCAGAACATATATGAAAATTACTCTTTAAGACTAAAATATAATTCCCAAAGAATTATCTAATTTTACAAAATCACATTTATTGTATTTGCGAAAATTTGTAGATTAACATTAGGCTTATTAAGATTGACAATATTACCAATATGCAAAAGGATCTTCAATAATTAATTTTTCTCCATTAAATCTTAGAATTTCAAATTTGATTTATTGATAGAGAATAAAATTTTGTTTTTTTAGGATGAAGGCCTGCTTAATGAACATCTTGGATATTATTACAAAGTGGTTTATCTTTTTGAAGTTCTTTTATGTCATAAACACATATAATATATGATTTAATTTTTGAAATAAAATATTATCAATTATACATTTTTCTTGTTTAATGTTTAAGGATTGGTATAAGCAATTTTATATTATTTAAAGCTGCATTCCATGTATTTATGTAATATTCATCTATTCGTATCTAAGTTTCTTTTTTATCAAAAGTTATTAAATAATTGCTTTCTGGAAAAAATAATACATCCATTTATTCTTACAAATTTTCGGAATATATTTGGAATGAGGGTTACATACTCATCTTATTGATATACTATACATTGTCAATCTGATGTAAATGAAAGATTTTAAGCTTTATATCGAAAGTCTTCTGTAATTATTCAATTTAAAATTTATTTCCGATTTAGCTATTGAAATAATTTAGTTTTCAATTTTTATCAAATTTATATAACTTTGATCTCTTCTTGCCAATCAAAGTATACTATTTGTTTATTTTAATTTATGGCAAAATTCAATCAATTGAAATGCTAAGGAAATAGCTTACAGTTGTAGCAAAATCTTCACCTTAAAAGAGATATAAAATGAATTTAGTATTCACTTTTTATTGCCAATAATTGATCATTCTGATTTAATTTAATGCCATGGTAATTTTTTTATTTATGATAAGGTTTTAATCAGTTGAAGTTAATTCAAATAATGGTCAAATTCTATCTTAATTTGATTTGATTATTATTAGTAAATTAAATTATTTGATTATCCATAAATTATTTATTATTAAATTCTAAAACCAAAATGATTATAATTTTTATCAAAATAGATTTCTTCTGATTTGATATTCAATTAATAATAATAAAGACAATTACTTTCCAGAAAAATTTCATAAGTTAATGAAATTTAAGTATTTTTGATTTCAATATATCCTTATTAGCAAATATAGCTAAATCATCATCATAGACAAAAATTTGAACTTCATCAAAAAATCTTTACTCTTAGTATATCTTTTGCTTAAACTATATTTGTAAACTTCCAAGCTTGTCTTGAAGTTCTCAAGAACATAGCGAAAAAATATATTAAATAGGAAAAGGCTCAGGACAGAGCCTTAGGCAACCCCGTTTTTAAACATAATCTTTTCCTTCTTGATTGGATAATAGATGTAAAGATTATCATAGACTTTAAACAAAATTCCAGACTGTCCATATCCATAAAATCAATATACTTCGCCATTTTCAAAGTCCTTCCATAGCTAAACTTATATACACATTGGATAAATAGAAAAAGGTGAAGCTCTTGTTGTTGCTTTTTTTTTAAGTGCTAGCATAAATTTTGATATTTAACCTCAAATTCCTAGATTCTGCACAAACTCCACTTAATTATTCACCATTCTCTCCAAGAAAATTTCTTATAATCTTACCATATAGTTCTATTCTACTAATATGACCAAATGACTTTATATCAAATGGGTGTAGATTTTCCATGACAGCTATATTTAGTGTATTTTTATTGAATGGTATTAGTCTTTGTGCCAAAGTGTATTAACTCCACTTTTCCCATGAATCTATTTTGAACAAGTCTAGATCGACGCCTCCTTCCACTATTATTCCATGTCTAATTTGATTGTCGTTTAGTGTAAAATGTCATAGGAGATGGCTTTGTTGTACCCATCTAGGCATTGATCATCTCTCTTTAACATGGTGTCATAAAGATTCCCTTACATTTACTTTTTTGATTATCAAAAATATGAATTTTAATTCCATAATTAATATAATATTTTTAATTAGCCAATATTAGAATTTTGAGATTTATTAAAATTATACTATTAATTTTTGGAGCTCACTAATTTCTCTTAACCAAAGGTTTCAGATCAATATTTATTGATTACTTACTTTAGAAAAGAATTTTTATTTACTTCATTTTCAACTTTTGAACATATTTCGATAAAATACTAAAAAGATATTTATAAAATTTTATTAATAGTATTTAAATTAAATGAAAATCAAATTATTTTTCTTAATATATTCTTAATTGGTCTGATAACTTTCGGTTATAAATAGCACTTTGAATTATTTAATTTTGATATGGAATTTGGTGAAAATAACAAACCACCTTTAAAAAGTCTTCTTAATTGTTTATCTTTTTATATTCTCCTAAATTTTGAAAAAGACACCAATAGTGAGGACTCATGGAATTAATAAGTAAAGGTTCATAGAATTATATATTTATAAAAAGTGTTGTTTTAATTAAATTTTTATATTTCTACCTTCTTATTTTGGCTTATTGTTTATTAAAAATAAAAATTCAAAGAGTCTAAAACAAAAGCCATAAATTTTTTGGTTAGTGTAAACAACTAATTATCCTATTTATAATAAAGTTGCAAAACACAACTCAACAACTAATTTCTATGTAATTTCTCAGCATTCAAATATCAAAATTTAAGT